TAGCGATGCACTTGTTACTACTAGCTTCTTGTTACTACTAGTAAGGCACTTGTTGCTAGTAGCTTCTTGTTTCTACCAAATCGGATCGCAAATCGACCTCTCAGACCGATCTGAACGAACCCTACACGATGAAGGACCCTCGCACGAAAGAAAACTCGTCCTTGAGCTCAGGCAACTCGGCAATGGGAGTCCTAGGACCCACTCTGTGCTTTAGGAGCTTTTGCTTCAACACTTTTTTCCACAAACCAAATGAATAGTGCGAGAGCTATCCGTTCAAAGAAAACTAGCAGCATGTTTACTCCTTACATCTCCTTAATGAAGTAGGCGCCTACTTAATGAAATGAGGCAGGGCCGAGCATCTAGGAACCGGTTCGACCTTCCCGTCGCTGAAAGGTACTCTTTCAGTTTACGCTGGTCGCAGAACCTGAGGACTTGGCCAGCTTGCCAGGCCAGCATGCCACACGGGCGTCAGGCCATTGATCTGATCACGTTGCCACCTGAAAAACACGTGGCCACGTGGCACTTGGGGGGGGGGCACTAGTAGCATCCTTGCTCCTAGTAGTAAGGCCAGGAGCCCCGAACGTAGCGCTGAAAGTGTGAACCCAAATGGAACTTGAAAGATCCACTGCCTCGCTTGGAGCTGTGCTACGGTCCAAGGCCCAGCAGGCCCTGTAGGCTCCTCAATCTTTGTAGAGCTCGAGTCGAACAAACTCTTGAAGATCTCTTTGCAAACTTTGCAGATGGCCATCCTACTAGCGATGGCCTCCAACTTGAAGATTATTCTTTTATTCATCTTTGTAATCTTCATCTTGGTCGAGCTGTTGGTCTTGTCATGTGGAGCGCTTCTGTGTCGCTTTGAAGCCAGCAAAAGCTCAAGCACCGACGTGGTATTACTACAGTATTTGCATAATGCTGCATTCGCATATTGAAAAAGGACTGTAATGCTTGCACATCCCAATTCCTGATAGTACCACTCCACAGCTTCGGCAGGTCTCTTTTCCGACTCAGCCTCAAAGGCCAAGACATGGAAAGCAAAAAAACATGGACTCAAGCCTTAGCCAACCAAATCACACACACCTTGAAGAGATGCTTGTGACACATCACTCTTCTCTCCCAGCCTGCAATTCAGCGGAAGCAGCCGCAGAACCTAGCTGAAAAGTAAATACACCCACCAGTACGTAGCAAAAGAAAAACAGTCTCTGCCCATCCCGAACCTGCATCACCATTCTGCGCTGCTTCCTGAGAACATGTGCGAATCATCCATGGAACGAATACCTTTGTGTTAAGCCCCAAACAGTGTCAGCAATATCTTTTAGCGTCAACTCCTTGAATTCTAATGTTGGTGGGAACGTCTGCAATTATATGTAGCCTCCAGCTGTTTGGGAACGGCAGGAAAACAAAAATGTTTCAAAACAACAGTTGATGCCTGAGTCACATGTGAAAAACGAAGGGATGTATGTCATGAGAAAAATCCGAGCATGATATCAAATTTGAAACACTGCACCACTGTTGCATTCAGAACCACACGAAAACATACCCGAGCAAAACGCGGCGTGGCGAAGCAGCGGACGCCCAGACAACGCGGTTTCAAAAGGGCCGACAACGTGGACCGAACAAGGCAGCGTGGCCAACAGAACAGACAAAGCCTGGACAACGCGCCCAAGGGACAACGCGCCCTGGACAGGTTTGGCGCGGCCAAAGAACAGCACACCAAGAGGAGAAAAGGACACAAGGGAAGAGGACAAGAAGAGGACAATAGGACAACAGAAGGACACAAGGGGGCACAGGGCACGGCCAAAGACTGTGGCCAGTGTTTGTTTCCGACCCGACAGTAAAACGGTTTGGGAAAAATAACATAGCACCACAAGGACAAGAGGAAACAATAAAACGGTTTGGGGAAAAAAAAAGAACACCAGGGCCCCCAATGCAACTTTCAACTCCACTTGCCGAAAAGCGATGTCCTGTTGTGTACTTGACAAATCGATGACTCGAAGACGAAGACGGTGCGTCGCTGCATCGGTGCATCTCTACAGGTCCTCCATGGAAGCTCAACGACACCAGTCCATTGCCAAGCAATCCAACTTGGTGAGACTCACAAAAGCGCTGAATTCTATTTCCTAGGGTTCATTTACTAGTTCTTGACCCATGGCTTTGAAAATGTGTTCAGCTTCCTGTCAAAATGCAAGCTGGCAGGGGTAGTAAAGGCCTAGACTGACTTGAAGACTTAACATAGTAGTTTTCTTGCAAGAACTGCTGAGACAAACCCATGCGTACTGCGTGGCGCTGCAAATGTGCATACACAATGCAGTAAACATAAATATTGGAAACGCTACCTCGATGGTCTTTGCGTATAGGCCTTTGTGTGGCTATCTGGGGGCTTTCCATGCAAAACTTGAACCCCTCAAATGCTTCTAAGTCTTCTCCCAAACTACCATGGTACACCTCGAGAAATGCAAAGCCAAAATGCAAGTGGAGATTGAGTTGCTTGAGGCAGCACAGAGAGCAATCAAGCACTTCTTTTGGACTTCATAGGTTCATCTTGAAACAAGCCTCTACAAAAAAGGAATCTGTTGTTCATGACCCTTCTCCAAACACAGCATCTGATAGTTCTTCGGCAGTTTTGCGAGCCTTTTCACTCACTGTCATCCATGTCATCTTCATCGGCAGCTGCAATAAGTCTAGGCTTTTTGGCTTTGGAGCCAGTCCCACTTTTCGGCTTCTCCTCGCAAGTTTGAGAAAAAGGACGCAGTAGCCACAGTTTTTTCTCGATGCATGGCCGTAGTAGCAATGCCCTTGTTACTAGTAGCAGCGTTCTTGCTCCTAGTAGCGATGCCAGGAGCCCCTAGTAGCGTTCTTGCTCCTAGTAGTAAGGTCAGGAGCTACTAGTAGCGTACTACCCATACTAAGAATTCGCTTAACTAGCTCTTTCTGACGAGGTGCCGAATGCCCAGCTTTTGGCAGCTGTGCCTGGAAGCGGCGCGCAGGGCGCGTGGGATCTCGGAGCTCGTCCTGAGTGCGGAAAGCGGTGAGACAACTTGCGACACTACAAGTAGCTTCTTGTCACTACTAGCGATGCACTTGTTACTACTAGTAAGGCACTTGTTACTAGAAGCGATGCACTTGTTCCTAGATACTTCTAGTTTCTAGAAGCAAGAATGCTCCGTTCGTAGCGATGCCAGCCCCTAATAGCGTCCTTGCTCCTAGTAGCTTCTAGTTACTAGAAAGCTTTATTGTTACTAGTAGCGATGGCATCCAACCATATAGCGATGGCCTCCACCTAGTTGAGTTCTGCTCTATTTTTCTTGGCAGCAATCTGTGATGGGTATTGCATGGCTGGAGTCTCCAAACGGAGTGGCATCTTACCAGTCATATCTTCGCTAGATCTACTTTATCGGAGCAAGGACGCTACTAGGGGCTCCTGGCATCGCTACTAGGAGCAAGAAGCTACTAGGGGCTCCTGGCCTTACTACTAGGAGCAAGGAAGCTACTAGGGGCAGAATGGACTAAAGGTCTAAAAAGCAGAATGGACTCCGCATTGGTGGGCAAACATTTCTCCTCCAACAGCCGCTCTTGGTTGGCCTCGGCAGCTACAGCAGCAGCAACCTCATTCCCAGTGATCTGTTCATCTCCGAATTCTGTGCGTTTAAATCCTGCAAAGACCTACAAAGGATGAACTCTGTTGTGCCTGAAAACCAGTATCTGACTGCCCTATGCCACCATCTCTTGTTCCCAAACAAGCGCCCACATCTGCCGGCCTGCGCTGCAGAAAACTCGGCGCCATCTGTCTTCTGACGGTGCGCTCGTGCTTCAAACTCAAACTGAAAATGTTTTGCTGTTATATAGGTTAGTGGAGGCCATCGCTCTTAAAAAAGGCCATCGCTAGGGAGGCCATCGCTATTAGGTTGACCTCGAAGAGAATAGTATGCTCTGCTTTGCATTTGTCACACTCGAACTCCAGAGTAATGATCCAATCACAATCCCATCCGCTGCCTTCCGCGCGGAGTGCACCTCCTCCGCTCCGTTGCGCTTCTGCAACCTGAAAGCATTCTTCTCCTGAAAGCATTCTTGTTACTACTAGGTTACTACTAGTGAGGCACTTGTTACTAGAAGCGATGCACTTGTTCCTGAAAGCATTCTTCTCCTGAAGCAAGAATGCTCCGTTCGTAGCGATGCCAGGAGCCCCTAGCGTCCTTGCTCCTAGTAGCGATGCCCTTTGCTCCCAGTAGCTTCTAGTTACTAGAACGACCAGAAATGGCCTACAAATTTGAGTGACCAGAATCCTCAGCAACGTGGCACAAAAGGAGACACTGATGTAAATGTGAATTGTGGATCTCGAGTTCTGTGCATTACCTGCAATCTCGGCAGTGAGGTTGGACATGCAACTTGCAACCACAAGAGGTTGCTCTTGCGTTTTTGTAAAGACAAAACAATCTTAGGTTGGAGGCCATCGCTAGTCTTACCACGACAGTGCCCTTGGGATCGGATTCCTGACCGGCGAGGTATCTTTGTCACGACCTTTCCCTCGAAGGTCCTTTTGTCACCTGAATCGTGGACAATTTCCTGATCCATTCGAGTGCAAATGCTTGCCCAGGAACCTTTGGAAAGGCTTTGCAAATCGCTGCTTGAGAGCATCTTCCAGCGGCTTTACAAACGCTGTCGTGGAAGTAAGTATCTGTGTTGGTAAATGGCTTTCCAAAAGCAAGAGTGCGCCTGTCGTAGACTCTGTAGTGGCCAATGGCGATATCTCAGAGTCGCATCACTCTGAGGACCTTTCTCCCTAGTCAATGAATCCGTGGCACCCACATTTACTTTGGATTTCATGTGCTTTGTGGGTGCAGCGGCGGAGTGAGCGAGGCCGGGCTGCGGACGGCTGTGTGTGTGGTGCGGGGCTTCTGCTTTTCACTATCGTGCTGCAAAATCGCATCCTGTGCCGTTTTCAAGTAGCCCACCCTAGGGCACTTTACCACCAGGGAAGATCTCTTGGTTCACTTGGAAGAAATCATCGACATCTACAGTGGGCAACAGCCATTTCACATGGCTCTTCGCCCAAAAAGGGCAATCCACCATCATTGTGCCCCAAGTCAAAGAGCAGTGGACATTGAACTTCAATCTTTAGCCAAAAATGACAACACCTGCATACGTTTGTGACTGATATCTGACAGTCAGAATTTATGCCAGCAAAAAGAAGGTCCTCTTTCCCATCAGCAAGCAGGCGGCGCTTGAAAACCGCTTCTCCCCTGCAGCATGGGAGTCAAGAGCCCGTTCAACAATGACTCTTTCACAAGAACGTATTGCAAGCAGTTGACTCTGTCCGCGACCCCTCAAATCTAGAATTTCTGATACCGTTATTTGACTTTGTTCTGCACATTTTTCTCAATTGCAAGCCCAGGATCGAAGGGGAAGACACTGAAGGCACCCGCGCCTGGCACTTGGAATAAGTGCCGAAGATGGACTAGCTGAAAATGGCTGATTAATGTAATCTGTTGCACACTGGTTGTGTCCAAAGAGAAAGAGCTCAGTGTCGTTTGCAGCCATCTCCTCTGGAATTGCAGCACGATGCTCATCTGCGGCAGCAGATGCAAGCGCTGCAGCAGGTTGTAACCTTCCCAAGACCGACCGTCGAGGCCATGCTGGTTCTCTTTGCACACAAGCCACTCTACCTTGATGTGAATCCTGAACAAAAGAGGCCAAAAAGAATAGTCTCTAATAGCAAACATTGTTACTACTAGTAAGGCACTTGTTCCTAGTAGCGTGGCACTTGTTTCTAATAGCAAACATTGTTACTGAAAGAATACACTAATCAATTTCCCAGACAGCTGCATATTCTGCACAACATGCTCCACATCTCAACACGGCCCTCACCTTTTAAAACTACATGTTTCCTCTTTGTCGTTCGATTTGTTTTGATGGCAACATGTGTGAAGAAGAACGACATTCTGTTCTCTCTTGACTCTCTCAGATCCAAGATCCAGACCCTCGAGGCTGCACCCGTCGTGTCTCGGGGAACAGCGCGTTGCCACTCATGCCATGTCACCCATGAGCAGCAGCTTGCAATGACCAAATTAAAAGTACCCTGGAAGGTATATTGGACAGCAAGTTTGCATTTCAGCATTGAGGGTGGAGGCCACTATTAGGTTGGCCATCGCTAGGGGTGTCTGGTGTAAGACTTTAGCAGTCCATTCAGAGTCACCCTTGCTCAAGACAAGCTTCGGCTTCCAGCGATTCCAGCCATCTTGCTCCAGCATTCTGCCCCGTGGCCTGCACTCAGTAGTTTGGATTTTAGCGCACATACTTCTCATCAAGCGGATTGAATGTTTTTAGAATGCTGGCTGCGACTGAACGAGGAGTAAACCAAGTAGAGGCAGAAACAAGGCTCAGCAGCAAAAGAAATTGCTGATATAATCCAAGCCCTGCATGCTGTTATCTGGGTCTGGAGCTTTGGCCTCTGTTCTTCCTGGGCGATCACCTGGATCTGCAGCTGGCCAT